GTTAAATATGTGCCTACTCTATGACCTAGAAATTCCACTTCTAGATAAATACCCAAGAAAAATGAGTGCACCCATTATACCAACACACAAGAATAATCACAACTATACTCAATTTAGCTAAAAACTAGAAACAATCATCCAAATCCAAATGACCACCAATCATAGAATAAAAATTAGGAAATGCACATCTGAATCTCTTATGGTACCATGTAGATGAAATTTTTTAACTAAAAAGTTAATTTTTAAATACTTTACTGGATTTTGTCAAAAACTTTTTTATATAATTGACATGATGTCTATAATGCACATATTAGCATTACCATTATAAGAAAAATTTTAAAAAGTTATTTCACTGTATTTTTCACAGAAAATTTAAATATGAAGTAAAATATTAATATGAAGTTAATATTTTCACAGAGAAAAGAGGGAGGTAATTTATAATTTAAAAACATATATTTCCTAAATGTTTGAGGGATTTTTTTTAGAAATATTAATATTTATTTTGTAGTTTTTTGAATAAGATTCTTTTAATTCTAAAACTTATAAGCTAATTTTATAAGAACTAATTGTTTTTATTTTTTGTAAAAATATTAGTATCACAAAGGGAGCAGAAAAGTATATTCAAAATAGTAACAAAAGTACCAGAAAAAAATCAAGCCTAGAAAAGCCTTCTTGGTTCTTGCCCCTTATTTACCACTTGATGAGTAAGTCATTGGTAAATTATTGCTACTGTCAGAAGACAAACTAATTCATTAGTTATCAGTGTTTTTACTTAGAAAAATAAAGAAATTTTTGAGATTTTTTTTCAAGTTATAATGAAAATTTCCAAAGAAACCCAAAAGAAGAGAGAGCAGTGCCATTAACTCTCATATTTCTATTAGCTTTGGTAACCATCAACTTTTCACTATTCTTTAAACAATTTTTTTAAGGTCAATCTTTCATGAATTCCAAGAAAAACCTATAATCACTAGTACCAGATTCAGATTCATTAAACATTTCTGAATCTTCAAAAGATTCCATCCTCTCCACTCAGGATGATTTAGTTCAAATTTAGTGGACTAACCTCAGGGAAAATGGCTTCCTTTCTTAATGTCAATATCAATGGTTTAATTTCTCTTCATTTCAAAATCAAGGTTAGAATATCAAACTGGAGGGAGAGTTCCAAATGTACTGCACTTGTCTCAGTCACAATTAACTGTGTTTTTAGTGGTCTAGAAGACGTTGCAGAACTACTGACATACAGAACAACAGGAGTAAAACTTAAACAATCATTATGCTAAATAAAAGAAGCCACACACAAAGACCTATATACGGCATGACTCCATTTTTTTGTGATATTCTGAAAGATGAGTCTATAAGTGCAAAAATAAGATCAGTAATTGCCAGGAACTAGGGATGGAGGGAGGAGATGGAATACAAAGGGTATGATGGGACTTTTTGGGGTGATGGAAATACTATATATCTTGATTGTGATTGTGTTTATATTATTGTATACATTTGTCAACATTCATCCAACTCTACACTTAAGAAGGGAGAATTTTACCTTATGTAAATTATATCTCAATTCGTCCAGTGAGTCAAACTTCAATAAAAACAATACCATACCAAGGTCAAATGGACCAAGTACAGCGAGACTACCCTCTTTCTTGATTGGGATAACACACTATTTTTTTTTGTTGTTGTTGTTTATTGCAGTAACATTGGTTTATAACATTGTATAAATTTCAGGTGTACATCATTATACTTCTATTTCTGCATGGATTACATCATGTTCTCATGTTCACCACACAAATACTAATTACAATCCATCACCACACACATGTGCCTAATTATCCCTTTTGCTCTCCTCCCCCCCTTCCCCTCTGGTAACCACCAATCCAATCTCTGTCTATATGTGTCTGTTTGTTGTTGCTATTATCTACTTCTTAATGAGTGAGATCATATGGTATTTGATCATTTCCCTCTGACTTATTTCACTTCACGTAATACCCTCATTGTGCATCCATGTTGTCACAAATGGCTGGATTTCATCGTTTCTTATGGCTGAGTAGTATTCCATTGTGTATATATACCACATCTTCTTTATCCATTCTTCCCTTGATGGGCACTTAGGTTCTCCAAAGAAGATATACAGATGGCCAACAGGCACATGAAAAGATGTTCAACATCATTAACTATCAGGGAAATGCAAATCAAAACTACAATGAGATATCACCTCATGCCTATGAGAATGGCTATAAATAACAAAACAGGAAATGAGTGTTGGAGAGGATGTGGAGAGAAGGGAACTCTAATACACTGCTGGTGGGAGTGCAAACTGGTGCAGCCACTATGGAAAACAGTATGGAGATTCCTCAAAAAATTAAGGATAGAACTACCATATGATCCAGCTATTTCACTGCTGGGTATTTACCCAAAGAACGTGAAAACACCAATGAGTAAAGATACATGCACCCCTGTGTTCACTGCAGCATTATTCACAATAGCCAAGAGGGGATAACACATTATTAATGAATTTTGAACTGGTATTTGATTTAGGGTAATCATTTTACATTTTTGATTTTTATCAAGCTTGTAATCCATTAAAATATCCTACATGTGTGCAGTTTTTTAAAATAAATGCAGTAGTGGATATTACTTCATTAAAGATTCCATCTGAGATATTTAAGTCCATCATATGAACTTAGCAAGATCATTTGGAATCTGCATATTGCTATACGGAAGTATCTAATATTTTGTACAGCCTCATGTCATCCAAAATTTAGTCAGCATGCTTTCTTTACAGAAAATATTGTTCTATGTAGAAAAATAATTTTGAATTTGTTTCATTTTTTGTTTTATACTGGATTATATGGGACATATGATTTGTATATGGTAACACAATCTAAATAAACTGATAAAATATAAAGATACTGAAGATAGATAAAATATCTTTGCCTTTGTAAGTGAAGTTACATATATCTTGATGTTATAATTAAGTTCATTTTTTGAAAGAAACATTTAAATCTCTCTTTTAAATGCCATCAGTGTCAAATTATTTCAATTAAATCATATAAATTACTGTTGGGTTTTGTTTCCTTCAGTTCTCTTAACCTTTATGTTTTTAAGGTGTCTATATATTTTAAAGAAAATTATGTGATATTAAATTTTTATATGCAAATATACCTTAAATTATCATATATATTTTTTCTGTAACAAAATTTAATATATATAGATAAGTAATTTCCATTTTTAGAAATTCCATATGCTATTGTTTGAACTTGTAATAATCCTACCCGTCTAAATTGTCCTATGGAATACACATACACACACACACACACACACAATCTCAACTGAAAGAATTTTCTTTCAATACAGATTCGAGTTCATTCTTAGGTTAGTATATAAACATTTTCAACTATAGAACAAAAAGCTTCCTCTTCCAAACAAATAAGGAGTTACATTTTCAATGTCACTGTTCATTATTGAGACACCATGCTGTACTTTCAGATAATTAGGTTTAGGTATAATATATTACAGTCCTCTGTTATAAGATGCACAAAGACATTTTAATTTCATTATATTCTCAAACATTTCTATAGATTTAATATTTCTTTAGATAGATATTTCTAGCAATTTGATACTCCTTAATAGTTGATTTCTATTTACCTGTGATTTTCAATGATTATATATCTTCCAAGATTCTCAAAATAGGAAAACTGTAACACATGAAAAGGAAAAGACATAATTTTTAAAGTAACCCTCCCCAATTTCTGGATACTTGTGCTCATACTTCCTTCTTCCCGATCGCCCACTCATTCAGAAATATCTTAACTTCCCAAGGGAGACATCTGCAGCTGATTTTCCTCTTTTGAGTTTTTTCCAGGCAAGTAAGAGAGAGGATTCAAAGTAGTACAAAGAGCAGGAGGAATTCACTTACAGAGCTGGATATAATTTAGGGCATGAACACGGGGGTTTCGCTGATCTTAAATGTACAGATATATCCATTTCATCTTTCATAATGTCTTCTTTACTATACTACAAATGGAAATGTCAACGAAAACTATTAAACAAGAAAATATTTTATGAAAGTCATAAAATCTTAGTTTGCATTACATTTCAATCAAGAATTATGGCTAATCTAAAGCACTGTTCATTATTTCTTTCTTTTCCTAGTTCCGTTTCTGTGATACGTGCTGGAAACTCTGTGAGCATCTAAAAGGTCATTTCTAATATACACCAATAGCCCTTGGGGTTTGGAGGAAACCACCCTCCAGTGGTGGCATCATTGCCTTCCTTCTGAGAAATAACACATATCATTTTATCTATAGTGAAAGTCACAAAAGGAATGCAGAAATAAAAGCATGAACTCTACTAATAAACAAGAAAGACGTTCTGAAAAATTCTTTGAAACAGGCGAGAAGTGACTAAATTTAAAAAAATACATAACTCTAGTGAGACATTATCACAAACTGCATGTTCTTTTCAAGTTACTTTGTAGGAAAATGCATGCTTTCTTTTTCCATAAATATTTTTCAAACAACATTTTCTAAATATCTTGAATTTAGTTATTACTATATTCTAGGAATTAGACACAGATCCTGCTCTCAGGGGGGCTTACAATGTAGTTGAAAAGATAAGACAGGTACCAAATTTACTCAAAACATGAATGAGGTGAGAGAAATCCAAAAGTAACCAAGTTTACCTCAAAATGTCAAGATTAGCAGAATTGGACACTTGAGAGGTAAATTCAATTTTTAAGAAATAAATTTACTTTTTTACATATATTCTCTATACCTGTATAATTAATACCTACAACTATCACCATAAAAGAGCAGTAAGTGAAGAATTTCAGAACATAAGAAATTAGTTGAAGGGATATTGATAAAAAAATCAGCAATAGATTATTCTTTGAAACATTTATAGTTTTTACGCAAAATAAAAAAAAAATCAAGAAATGCCAAATAATAAAGAAAAAGGCAGTTTACATAATCATGTTATGAAAAAGCAGTTCATCTTACCTCTGCTACCAGTTGCTGAAGAGACGGTGAAGCTACAGAATACAGACTCGCGTTACCCCTTATGGGACTATGGAGACTAACATAAGCCACAACATTTCTCTGCAGAACCTTCTTGAATTCCTAAAATCCAAAAATAATCTATCTTTAACATAAATAAAAATAATAGATTCTACTTTATCAGTTACATGTTGAATAATAATCACTTTTTACTTAAAAGCACTATATTGCACAAGTACTTTTTTAAAAAACAGCATCTCATAACTATTTAATAGACTATACAAAGGTCATAAAAGGACTTTAAATAAGGGTTATGAGGAGTTACATATAACATATGATAAAATATTTTAAAGATTTTATTTATTTATTTTTCCCCCAAAGCCCCAGTACATAGTTGTCTGTCATAGCTGCACATCCTTTTAGTTGCTGTATGTGGGATGCGGCCTCAACATGGCTGGAGGAGTGGTGCCTCGGCGCGCACCCGGGATCCGAACCCGGGCCGCCGGCAGCGGAGAGCACGCACTTAACCGCTAAGCCACGGGGCCGGCCCTGATAAAATATTTTAAAGTATGTTCCTGACAAAAGTTAAATTTTAAGAGAAAATGTTCTTAAATGATTAACATGGCATGAGATTCAACTTCAGAGTACAGAATGGAATATTTGCTCTAGTGACAGCAGTTAATTTTATAGTCATAGAATAAGAGAACAGACATGGGTAAACTATTTTACATGGGTAAACCAACCCTTTCTTTTGAGGCAATGAGCTACTTTTTGCAATAAGAGGCTCTTTATTCTGACCAAAATGGGGCATATTACAATTATGTCCCTGTACGCATTACCTGAAATAAAACCTGGTGCATTTCATGGATATTAGTAGCATAAAATGATTCAGTAGAATAGTTTTTCCACTTCTTTGCTGAACCCTACCCCTAAAAATACCCACTGATCCTATTAATGTTACCACTAAGAACTCCTTCTGTAATTTTCCTCCTTTTCTGCACAAATATTTAATGAGTAATTATCATAATCACAATTCTATAGAAATTTCCTGAAAATTGTATTACTTCATGTCTTAGGAACATATCTTTCTTATTCCAACACTATCAGATGAAAGACTGCAAGGACTTATATATCTAGCAAACCAATAATGTTACTCCTATTTTAAGTTGAAAATTCAGCTATACTTCTATAAGAAAGGAGAAAAGACAATTCCTTTAAAATTAATAAATATTTTAAATTAACAGAAATGATGAACTTAAGGTTAAGTACTCTGCTTTATGCATAATATTGTTTTAAAAACTGTCCATTGTTATACGAGTTCTATGGAAAAACAGCTTCTATTTACACACTACCACATAGACAGTGTCTATATGTTAGTCTATTTAATTCTCATGAGAACCTCACAATATAGGCATTTGAGGAATCATTCCTCATTTGAGGAATTAAGTCTTGGAGAATTTAATCTTGCCTAAGACCACATGTTTTATGGTAGAGAGGATGTGAACTCAGACTTCTTTGACGGTAAAATCTATAGTATTTCCAGAATAGCCTGTAAAAAATGAAGATTCTTCACAGAAGAAATTGTGTTTTTTAAAGAACCTATTTAGTAAAATGTAATAATTTTCCTCAAGGATCAAGATCAGTATTGAGTCAATTCTAATAACTCTATCACTATAAATTCCATTTTTAAGTTTATTGACCAATATCACCTAATCCTTTTAATTACAACTGTGCTTTCCAGGGGCTTCTGTGCAAACGAAATTAAATAGGGCAATATGACACATCAACAAGTGCTTTCCTCACTCATCTTCACTAGGGAATATATTCAGAGCATAAATTTGTTTTGGTCTAAAAGAAAATGTTTCATTCTCAGAAGGAGTATATTTGATAAGAGTAGAAAAAACAGAAACTACTAGTTTTCTAAATTCCTCCTCAATCAGATAGTTAAAAAATGGTTTCATGAAATGTATTGAAAAAATCTTCTGAGATTTAGGAATTTACAGTAGTACATTTTATAAGCCAATAATCAAAGCTATATATTATTCATCATTTTCTTTACTCATACATCTTTACCTACCTAGTCATGTAAAAAGCTGGAAAGTGACTGAATGTATAATTAATTGCAAAATATGCATACATGCATAAATATTCTAGAACAGAGGTTCCTAACCTTTTTGAATAGGAAGAGCCTTTTCTAACATAAACGTTTTTTCCTATGGACTCGCACACTATAGTAGTTGTAGTTTTAGTTTCTATTGATTGAGAAAATATAAAATGATCAAAAGGACCAATGAATTCAGTAAAACTTAAAAATGAACTTGTATTTTATTAACCACAAAAATATCTACTTAATTTGAAAATATAATTGTTCACATACACGCAAGGCTATATTATTGATTCAATTTACAGGCTATGATGCTTGATATTCAAATAAATTTAAAGACTTTTTGCTATAAACCTCCTCATGCACAGGGGTTCAGGATATTTAAGTTAGGAACTATTAACGTTAGATAAGCCTACTTTGAGAACATAGTTTAGAAATATACATGTTAATTTAGGATTAACATACACTGACGGTGAAAGTAACTAGATAGATATCAAGCAGGCTGTATGATATAGTGCATTAAATTTTTGGAATTTGAAAAGATTCTTCAAGACATTTTCTTAAAATGTGCCTTATTTTTACAAGAAAATCAAACCATTGTTTTCTTTATGATAAAAATAATTCTGAATTACTAAAATCAGCCCAGATTACAAACACAATCCCCAAATTGTTTTTAAACTTGTTTATATCTTTAAAGAAAGTAATTTGGAATAGAAGTTTGAGAGGTTGGTTCAGCTATTACATTTTCCATCTTACTAAAAATTTGTCAATTTAAAAACGTTCTTTCAGCAATGGAATTTCTTCATTTCAATTAGTTCTTTTGAATATGGAACAAGCAGTCACACCATTAATTTGCATATGGAAAAGCATTCCAATTTGTAATGTGTGAATCTTGATACATTTTACACTGTAAAATTTTTCTCATTTTAGACTTTCCTTTCCTCCAAATTAAAAAGGCACTTGCTATTTTCTTTTGTATACCTTTTTGATACATTCTTTGATATTCAGAAGACATTTTATCCTTATTTTTTTGAGTGCTTACGTAAAACATGAAACAAGAGAATTTCCCATTAGATATTTAGGACTTTTTTCTCCAAAGCTGAAGTAGTAAACAAACTGGCATATCAAATGGTTTTACTTTCACAGCTAAAATTGTGTGCGATTTTTCCTATAAATTTCCATTGAAACTTTTTAAAAAGAAAAAAACATGAAACTGAATAGAATATCTGAGTTTTGCAACATTTTCATTGTTGTGAAAATGGCACCATCCACTAATCAATTGTCATATTCCATTAAAAATACGGTGCATCTGTGAGAGACAGACATATCAGAAGCTTAATCTAATCCAGTTGTTTTCCAACCATGACCCATTAAATGCTAGATTTCATTTGCACAAAGCCTTCCTAAGGTATAGTTAGATAGGTAAGCAGGTAGGTAAGTAGATAGATATGTAGGTAGGAAAGAAGGAGCAGGGAGATAGGGGTGCAAGAGTGGAAGGAGGAAGGAGTGGAGGAAACCACGATTTTGAACCCAGTCTCTATACTGTCTAGCTGAGGTATAATGCTAAGGTAATCAACATTTATCATAGGAGATTGTTTCCTAATTCCAGATAATTGCTAGAAAGTTTAAAAAAAGAAAGGTAATATATCACCTGATCCTTTCCTGTCTGGTGCCTGTCAACCTTTCTAAGGAGAACCACAATAACCAGGTAAGCACTATTGTGGGTATATCAGAGTCTGTAGGTCTGGTAGCAACAAGAATAAGGTAGCTGCAGATCATACACAATTCACTATGGTCTGACTCTAATTCTCTTTCATTCTTATGAGTGATATCAACAAATTAACAGATATGATACTCTGATTAAGATACACATTCTTGTCCTTGGCTTCAACAATTTTACTTTGTCAACTTTAGCCAAAAAAAAAAAAAAAAAGAGAGAGAGAGAGAGCATAGTAATTAATATACATTTACCTCTCCCCATTCATATGAGCCAATATTGCCAAAAGCTGTTCCTCCCCAGGAACAGAAAACAATAGTGCGGTCTGGTCTCCACCCTCTCTTAGCTCTTAACATCAAGGCTTGGATGAAAGCTGTGATAATGGCAGTGCTGCTGGCCCATTCTTGTCCATTGTAACTGTGTGCAGTGTGATGGTGGCTGCCAACTATGACATACCGGTCTGGAAATAGAAGGAAACAAGAGCCATTAAAACAAAATAGAAACCTTAACAATCAATTTAATGATATTTACATAATCCTATTGCACAAATGAGCAACAATTATGCAAAATTGTTCTAATAATTAAGACTACTTTAACATTTTTCGCCCACTGCCTTGATTCACACATCTGCGTATATCAAAGCTGAGGCAGCTGCTGAACCCAATTACGAATCCAAAGCTTAGATCCATATTACTGTCCTCTGCAACACGCATATTAATTAATGAGGTATACAAATATGCCACAATGAAACCCGTATCTAACATTTTTCCTGAATCATAGAGGGAAGTGCCCTGTAAACAATGTGTGTATGCCCAGTAAATATTAATGAACTGTTAATACATTTGATGGAGCAGTTATTCAGTAGCTGTAAATATTCAAAATGTGGTAGTCATGTATGGATTTTGCAATAAATGAAGTATTTAGGTAATTAATTACAGCTTCCAACTTAATAGTTTTAAGTCCCTCTACTTTTTCTGAAGAAAAAATAAATTCAACAACATCAAAAGTCATCTAACTACTGTCAAAGTTTCCTTTTCACATATTTTATTTCATATAATCATACAGAATTAGGACACTATTAGAAAGGTCTCCATGACACATGGATATGGCCTGTTCAATGTACATTACTGACTATTGTTAGTAGTAAGGTAGGCTAAAAATTTACTTCCAGAGTTTCCTCTGATGTTGTCAGTGAATGTTATTGGTACGGAGTGAAATTTATTTGACCAAGTACCCTATACATTTGTGTAAAAAGATTTCTTCACGGAGTGTCATTTCATTAGGAGATGTCCCATAGTTTGATGCTTAAGTGTGCAGACTCTGAAGCCAGTCTGCTTAGGTTTGAACCAGGCTATTCAATTCACTAGCTGTGTGACTTTGGAAAGCTTATTTAACCTCTCTACGCCTTAATTTCTTCAACTACAAAATGTGAATAAAAATAACACATATATCATTCAGTTGTTTTGAGTTTTAAGCGAGTTACTATTGGTAAGGCACTTTGAACACTGCCTGAAACATAATAAGTACTATACATGTAGAATACACTAATCACCCCCTGACTTCATGGCATCAGAAAGCTACCTTATGGGAAACATCACTGTGTGAAGCTATTTAGTTTTCCACACTGATATTGGAACCAGCAATGAATTTGATCTGCCAACATTTTATCAAAATTTAATTAATGGCGTACATAGTGTGTCTGCAAATGTTGAAACCCTGGGAATTTATTCACTCATCTCTCAGATACGTGTGAAAGTTCTGTTTGGAATTGTCTGTATTCTAGATAAATCATATCTAACAACTTTAATATTAATTGATGATTGTTTCTAATTTTCAGAGTCATTAAATAACAAAATTATGTGAATCTACAGCCAATATTTTTAGGGAGTATTCAAATAAACAAGAGTTGAGAAGCAAATTGATGTTAAAAAATTGGATTTTTTTTCATATTGAATTTCAATAAGGAAAGCTCTTTTACCCTAAAGTTAGTATAATATTGTACAATTTGGTTTTTCAATACTACCTTGCAAATGCAGCAATGATGATAAATATTTTTAGTGCTTCAATTAGAGATCCTTATGATGGAAATTGATTAAAATGGTTGAAATGCAATAGTAACAATTTTCAAATTCATTTATATCTTATATTATGATCAGAAGTTGTTCAACATTGCTACTGTAAGGAAATCAGAGAGAATATGTACTTCCCATGAATTTTGTAAGACGTGACTGGCAAGAAACTGGGGGAATGTAGAACCTGATCTCAAAATTCTCTGGGTTACCAATTAAGGGGTCAATCTGACTAAAGTCATGGAGAAGAATAATTCTCCAAGGAGAACTTGAGTAAATGTCCCAACCAAATCAACAGAAGTGGCACAAATGTACTAAAAAGACTACTGTACTCTACGTTGTATAACACGCATATGAGACAGTAATGTGTGATTCAACCTCACAGTGCATTAGGAAGAGTTGCTATTAATCTCTTAATATATGTGTCAGTTATTTTACTGTTTTAGCCTGTATAATATTGTATGAAGATTCCATCAGCATCCCATAACAAGGTATCAAATTATTTAAAATTTAACCAGGTGATCATTTTCATAAGCACCTTCAAAACCTAAGCCATGGAAACATTAGGCAGAATTGTCAGTCGACCAAGGGTCAGAGATGGGACATAGATTAACATTAAAAGATAGATTTGGAGACAAAAACTTTTATTTTTTTTAAAAACACCATTAAAACTAAAATATTCTCTTTTTAAAAAAATCTTTTCTTGATAAAAATAAAAACTTCAATGGTGTAATAGTGAATAAAAGAAAAAAAAGAGAGAGAAGTCAAGATGGCAGCATAGGCAGACTCTGAACTCACCTCCTCCTGCGGACACAGCCAATTTACAACTACTCGTGGAAAAATTACCCCTGAGAGAGAACTGAAAACTGCAACAAAGGACAATCCTAATCGAGGTGGAAGAGGCAGAAACTCCCTTCTGGAGAGGAAAAATGCTGCCTTCACAAGCCGCAGCGCCTCACGGCTGCCTGGGAGCAGCCCACAGGTGCGCAGCCCTCCCTGGAGGCATGGGGCCCCGAGCCGGGGAGCTCCCCCGCTGGGGGCATTTTGCGGACCCAGCACAATCGAGACGAGTGGCATAATATCTGACTTTGCCTGCTACTAAAACGTTGGGGAGCACTCCCAGAAAAGCTGGTTCACAAAGAAATTAAAACCAGCTCTTAAAGGGCCCACGCGCAAACTCACCCGATTCAGAAAGCAACCTAAAATCACCAGAAAGAAAGGTGCACAGTGCTTTGGTGAAAAGAAACTCACCTGACAGGCTCTGAGTGCATCTTGGTGAAAGGTGAGACCTCTCCAGGGACTGGGACATTGGTGGCTGCCATTGTTGTGGCCTGGTGTGGGCGTGCTGATACAGACGCCATTGGAGTTCTCCCTGGGGCTTGCTAGCCCAGAGTCTGCCCCACCCACTAGAGCAGTGATTTAATCCAGCTCAGCCAGGGCAGGCAGCCCACCCTAGGGACTGGCCCCATCCAACAACAAGCCCTCAGGCAACTTGTGGGGCTGCTAAGGGAGCTGCCTGGATTCTCCACAGCCTGGTGACTGGGTCCACCTCTGTAGGGCAGGCTGTGTTCAAGGAGTGGGTGGAGAGTGTGGAGCGGTGGCGGAGTGTGTGGGGCTCCCGCCTTGGAGAGATTGGGTCCCCTTAAGGAGGTCAGGGTGTGCGCACGGGACAGGACTGTGTTGACTGTGTGTGTGGAACTGTAGGCGGTGGGGCTTGTCAGCTGCAGAAGACTTGTGCTTCTGAAAGGGCAACACAGGGGGTTGGCCCCACCTTTCAAAGCCTGAAACAATTGGGTGCTCCCGTGCCTGAGGCCAGCCCCACCCAGCTGCAATCCTCAGAAAGTTGACAAGGGTCCTAAAGGCTAGAGTCTTATAGCCATTGTAAGCCCCTGAGCCTAACAACCTGCCACGCTGGGGGCATATTCACTTAATAGAAATATGGCAACAGGAATGTGCTATTAGATCTTGCAGCCAACTGTGCTGGGACACCCCACACCCGATAAAGAGACTGAAGGGCCTACAACAACTACAAGCAGCTGAGCATTATAACAGCTGGCCAGGGGCATAGCTCAGCCTCCCTGGGCACCAACGGGAAGAACAACCCTGCCACAACAGAAGGACACATGTAGCCCACACAGGGGTCACTCCTGGAACATTTGCAACTGGAGAGGAGAGGGAAACACACTGCAAGACCTCCTAAGGCATCACTTGTATAAGGTTACCTCTCTGAGAGCAGGAGATGTAGCTGACATACTTAATACATATACACAAGCACAGGGAAAGAAGCAAAATGAGGAGGCAAAGGAATACATTCCAAGTAAGGGAACAGGACAAAACCCCAGAAAAGGAACTAAGCAAAACAGAAATGAGCAACCTATCCAACAGAGAGTTCAAACAAAGAGTGTTAAGGATGCTCACTGATCTTGGGAGAAGAATGGATGAACTCAGTGAGAATGTCAACAAACAAATGGAAGATATAAAAAAGAACCATTCAGAAATGATGAATACAATACTGGAAATGAAAAATTCACTAGAGGGACTCAAAAGCAGAGTAGAG